AGGGGGGGGGAGGGGGATTGGCAACCTGGCAGCGAATTAACGTGAGGAGAAACCGGCCACTGGGCCAACCACGAAGATTTACTCAATACCAAAATAGCAGACCGAAGACATCAGCAGAATTCTACGAAGTTACTGGGCTTATCAGTCCTATTCATACGTCTGAAGGACTTATCATATAGTGATAGGATCGAGAAATTTCTTTGATAACTGTTTATTTTAATTTATTGGCATGAACGAAATTTGTTAGGCGAGTTCGCACGGGAATTTGAGAGTGACCAGCACCCGGAAGCCTTCAATTAATTATTGACATTTTATGTATACAGAATAATTGATGTGAATGATTGAAAAAAAATTGAGTGTGTGGTCGGGTGGTATGGTATAAACGGTGAGTGAGAAGTGGGAGAATTTTACTATTTATTGATGGGGGTTAACTATAGGCCTCCGCAGCAGTCAGGGTGAAGATTCTCTGTTTGGATGACTTTGAGACTCAAATAATGTGGGTCAAAGGTGTTCTAATAACTATTTTGTACCATCTAATTCATTCCGGTTGATGCTCTACGCAGCAGAAAGTTTATCGTTTTACTGAATCAATTCTTCGTCTAGGAAGAAAATTGAAAATTGAGGGGGAAAATAGGACATAAATTTTCATGGATTCATGACTCTTTTTGTGGGTTTTATTTAAAAAAAAGAAAACAATGTGGGGATCAGAGAAATTGTGACTCTCATTCCTGTCTCTGTGCGTGGGGAGCGATAAAATCGGGGAATTTGTTTGACAACTATTTTCCACTATAAAATTGCTTGGTTGAGATTTTAGGGGATAGAATGTTTTTTTATTTGCACGAATTCGTTTGTCGTTGAGGAGGAAAACCGGTAGTGGAGTGATCAAATTTCAAATAGCTTGTTCTCAAATTTTCATTTTTAGCAGTTCGTACTAATAAAAAAATTATACGTATTGGATTATTCACTGAATTCTCGTAAGGAACCCTTCCATTCACCAGGTTTCATGACCCAATTCTTCCTTCCCCAATAAGATTCTAAAATGAAAAAATACTTTGTAATATCATTTAAACATGGGTTTCGTTTCCCCCTATTTTTAGAAATTGCAATTTTATACTTTAGTCGTCTATAAATAAATGTAGACGTCAGTGGTGTAGGTCGGATTTACCACGTCTTATACCCCCAAGAATTCGTCCAATTAAACATAGGAATGTGTACAGAGTTAATTGAGTGAATATCTCAATGAGGGGAACAATTTCCAGCGATGAGTGCGCGACACTTATCTCAATAACTCTACGTTTATTTTTCAAGGCTTCACACAAAAAAATTAATTTCATAAAAACTCAAGAGCAAATCAATTCTTAAATCAGTATTCCATCAATTTTTTTCTAAAATTATTCTCTTTTCCAATTGCAAAACTTTTTTGAATTTTTAAGAAATTCAATAAAATCGAATACGCTCAACAGTTTCAGTTTAAGAAATCAGTCATCATCAATTAAATAACGATTTTTAAATCTCGAGAGGGTGACCTTTTAATACTTAAAATAAGCTATATTTTTTTTTGAATATTTGAAAGTGGATTTTTTCCCTTAGTTTATTTGAGAGGGAATAGTGTGAGAAAATGTTTTACCGTGGAAATCTGTGGTACATGGGTGATGATGAGTGGATGTTACAACCAGCTAAGGATGAGTCCTTGAGCCATCTGCAGGCCACCCGTCCCCATTGGGATGGGGCCATAACACCGTAACTCCTCGAGATGTGTTATCCAATTCAAAAACACCGACATCCCGGTGACTCTACCGCACACGTGGGTCCCCTGGTTTCATAGTAAAAGTGTGAAAAGCCTTTGGAGAGGACTCCGATAAGAAGATTAAAACACAAAACAAGAGTTAAAGGGAATTTTAACCGAGTACAACTTGAGTTTGACTGCATGATCCGTGTAATCAGTAAATATTTGATTATTTAATAGAAGCTGTACTCTCCCTTGTCCATTATTAATTAAGAAACACTCTACGAATATTTGTGGGGCATGTTGATTGTCATTTGCGGTTATTACAGGAGAAATAAAATCGACTCGCCTTTGCAGAACGTGTGAAAAGCCTTTGGAAAGGCCTTTTGATAAGGAGATTCCAAGAAGAAATATGAGATGGAGATCGCTGGGAGGAGAAAGGGAGACGGGAAATAATTCACCTGGGATAATTTCACGGGAATTTCAATGAATTTCGTTCTTACATTGAATTCAATGGAATGAAAAATTCGATGACAGAGGGGATTGAGCGAGAAATTAATTGTAACTCCATGTCGATGAACTCGTATTTAACATTTCAATTAAATAAGTTTACAGGATTATTTGAACTATTAGCGGTTATTAATAGAACGAATAAATTCTATTGTCTCTAACATAACGTGTGAAAAGCTTTTCGAGCGCTGTAGGATTTTTCGATAAGAAAATTAGAGGAAGAACAAAAAGTTTGAGGAATTTGGTCATTAAAAAGTCACTACTTGTCGTGAAAATCAATAAAAAATTATTTCTGTTCAATTATACCATGAACATATTTTTCAATAGAAAACATTTCGAAAGAGCAAATCTCTTGCTCTCCCACGCGATGATTGTATTCTCATTCTTAATTCGAATCCAGAGACAAAATCAGAGATAATAAATAACCCGATAAAATTTATTGTTTTCATTATTCCGAGAATTGAACATCCAGGTTGCAAATTCCTGGGACGCGTGCGGGTCACCTTGTTAGAGTCTCTGCAGAAACCGATGGAAAAAATGAAAAAAAAAAAAAATGGAGAACTGCAGGTATACAAGACAGCCGTAAAACAGTGAAAAAAAAAAGAAATAAAATGATGGGAACTAAAAGAAGTGAAAGAAGGGGGTGAGGAAAGTGGAGGCGGATAGAAGGCCACACGAAAAATATACAGTGTATTGGCCTGACTGATTTATCGTTTCTCGTCGGTGAATCGTCGATGGTTGGATTTGATAGCGGGAGGGGACGGAAAGAGAAGAATGGTAGATGAGGTAGATGAGGTAGATGAGGTAGATGAGGGCGCGTTGGGATGATCGAGTGGTCGGCGATTCCGATGCCGCCGATTTCAATGCCGCAGCACAAACAGACGTCCTCAGACGTTGACGGGTACATCCACTCGAATCGCCATCTCGACGGGCTACAGCAGTCGTATTAGCCTGATACTTCAAGTTTACTTCTCGATTGGTTAGACACTGAATATTTCACGAGTATGTCTCCTTGTACCTGTACCCTGGCCCATGTGTCCACTCAGAGATCCATTCATTTTTATTTCAGGAATGTGTTTTTGGCATTCAACTCCAGTATCACCTTATTTTTTTATTGAGTAATGCTCGTTTC